GCTAAATTATTTAAAATATCTATGAAAGATTTTTTTTTTCTCTTTTCAAATTCTTTAGCTTATTTTACAATAGAAGTTTTTTTAAGAACAAAAAATCACAAAGTCTTAAACTTATTATATTTAAAAATTTCAACTTGTTTTATAGACAAAAATTATGTTAATAAGTAAGAAATATTTTTAATTAAGAAAATTGAATCTATGCATGTAGAAGTCATAGATAATTATTTGTTGTCATTTGAAGATATTAGAAAAGTATAATCTTTAAATAGATTAGATTTCTAATAACCTTGATTTTTTTATAGTTTAACTCGAAATTTTACTAATCAAATAAAAATGTATAAAGCCAATATAACCAAATTCTTATTTGCAGGTACAAGAGCTTTTATGCATGCTACAAAAAAAAAGATCAATTTTTGTTATATATACCACATCCATTTTTTATAGTAAAAAGAATTTAAGTAGCATTCTAAACCATTATAAAGATTATTAAGATGTTTTTGAAAAGAAAAATACAAATAATCTTCAAAAACATCAATTCTATAATTGTTCCATTGATTTTTAAGAAAGAACTCAATAACTATTCAAATCAATTTATAGCTTATTATAAAACAAATTAGCTATATTTTAGGAATACATTCATAAAAATTTAGCTAAGAATTTCATGTGTTATTCAAAATATCCAATTGAGGGTCTTATTTTATTTGTAAAGAAAAAAAAATAGATCTTGACGGATGTGTGTGGACTATGAAGGACTCAAAAAAATCATCATTAAAAATAGGTATCTTTTACCATTGATTTTAAGACCTTTTGATCAATTCTATTAAACAAAGATTTGTACAAAAATATATCTATAAAGAGCATATAATTTAATTTTTATTAAAAAAAGAGATGAATAGAAGACTTTATTTTAAATAAGATGTAGGCATTTCAAATATAATGTCATATCTTTTAGACTTACAAATAAATTAGCTGATTTTTAATTTCTAATAAATGATGATTTTCATGAATTTCTTGATGATTCTATTATCTATTATTTAGATTTATTTTAATTTATTCTAAGAATAAAAAAAGAGTATAAACTTCATATTCATGGTGTATTACAAAAATTTAGATATGTAAGATGATACTCCAAGATGGAAAAGCGTACATTTTATACTATTAAATTGAATTTATAGGATACATTATTTCAAATGATGGCATTATAATGGATTATAAGAAGGTCCAAACTATCATAGATTCAAAGATTTCAAAAACATTCAAGAATATGTAATATTTTTTGAGATTTTTTAGTTATTATAAAATCTTCATCAAAGATTTTTCTTAAGTTGTAGCTCCACTTATACATTTGATTTGTAAAGACAAATTTAAGTAGAATAAAGAAGTTAAAGCATCATTTAAAGCTTTGAAGACAACATTTATTTTTGTACCAATCTTATATTGCATATACTTCACTAAAGTATTTTTTATAGAAATAGATGTTTTGAACTATGTCTTATATGAAGTATTATTATAAATGAGAGGAAATAAAAAATTCTACGTAGTGATTTTTTACTCAAAGAAATTTTCACTAAGTAAGATTAATTATGAAATCCATGATAAAGAGCTTCTTATAATTATGGATTTATTTCAAAAATAACATCATTATCTAAAAGGTACTTTGAATCTACTCACTACATATATGAATTACAAGAATCTTGAATATTTTCATGTCAATATCTATTTTAAATCATTCCTAAGCCTACTAGAGCATGTCTTTATCAAGATTTCATTTCAAGATCATTTATTGATCAAAAAAATAATAAGATTTTTTAAATACCATTTTTAGATATTTTCATCTTATACTAAAAGAAAAAAACACAACTTTTGATCAAGAAAGAATAATTTTCTTAAAGCTAGAGTAATTTCATCTTTGAAGAATAAAATCAATATTAACTATTAATTCCACCTTTCTTAAGCAAGTTCAATCAAGTATGTCCTTTGATCTTTTTTTTCATGATATTAAAAATAATTCTTTTAAGTCTCATAATACTTTTAAGTTTTAGTTTAAAGATAATCTATTCTATTTTAATGATTATTTATATATTCTAGAAAGTAAAATATAATTATATATTCTTTAAGTTCATTATAACTTTCTAACATCCAAAATTTTTGGATACAATTAGAATTTATAGCTAATATCTAAAGATTTTTAGTAGTATCAAATATAAAAAGTAGTCAAAGACTTTATGTAATCATGTAATATTTGTTGAAAATTAAAAACTCCTTGTCATCAATCTTATGGACTTCTTTAGCCATTATCTATTTTAAAATAATCAAGGTCTTTTATTTCTATAGACTTTATCATAGATCTTTTAGTTTCAAATTCTTATGATTCTATATTTGTAATAGTAGATTATTTTACTAAGATGGTATATTTTATATCTTATATAAAATCTATCACATGTGAAAAAAAAACTAAATTTTTTATTTAAAATTTTTATTCCTAGCATAAATTACTATGAGATATTATATTAAATAGGAAGAGTCAATTTGTATAAAGATTTTTAAAAATTCTTTTCAAGATATTGAAGGTGAATATAAAACTATCTTTAGCTTTCTATTCTTAAATTGATGGACAAACAGAGTGGATGAATTAAGTTTTGGAGTACTATTTGGGGTGTACCATCAATTACTAGTAAGATGATTGAATAATTCTTTTATCATTAGCAAATTTTGTTAATAATAATATAATACATTTGTCTATTCAAAAAATATCTTTTTTTATTAATTATAATTATTATCCAAGACTTGATACTTTTGACTTCTTAAAAAATGATAATCCTATGGCAAAAGATTTGATAAATTACTTATTAAAGTTACATGAAATAATAAAGGAAAAATTAAACAATCTCAATTCCATGTTGGTAATAAAATATGGTTACTTTGTTATAATATCAAGTTTATTTGCCCTTGTAATAAGTTAAATTACCGTATTTTTGAAGTATTTTTTATTTGTAAATAAATTAATCCACTTACTTATTAATTATATCTACCTAAGTCTATAAAGATCTATCTCATGTTTTACATATATCTTTTTAAATCATACAAGATAATAGATATACCAAAAAAATAAATAAATACTAATTCTTCCTATAAAAATGGATAATAATGAAGAATTTGAGGTTGAAGAAGATTTAGACTAAACGTAGTACTAAAACATATTAAAATATCTTGTCCATTAGGATAGATATGATATTAATAAATATATATTATAGCCAGCTAAGAATCTTGCAAATGCAACAAAAAGAAATTGATATTTTTTTTGTATAACATCCATCAAAACCAAGATGAAGGATAAAAAATCTTTGCTATAAAAATAAAAATAAAAAATAAAAAAAGATTTAGAAAAAATTACATTCTACCTTCTATTCTTATTTGCAATTTTTGTATACTTGTGTTCTTAAGAAGATAGAGAACCAACAACCAACACATTCAATTTCAAGAGCTATTATTTGTTGACTTATTGAAGAAGACATTGCAATTGTCATAGCTTTCAAGAGGATGTAATAGAGATGAAGATCCTCAAGAATGATATGTCTTTCTTTGAATAGATGGTATCACAATTTTGAAAGATACTTCATATGTTTGGTGATTTTACTAGAAGTATGTGACAAGTACAATTTGTTGCATCTTAGATTTTATCAATATGTAATCATGACTTCTTGTGGAATTTGTTCTTAAAAGATAAGATAATGTCATGGATACACACACACACACACACACACACATATATATATATATATATATATATATATATGAGCTTTTAGTTATTTTATTATTTAAAATAAATATATTTAAAAAATTAATCAAATATTATTTAAGATTTTTTTCTCATGCTTATTGTTGTATAAATACAATATAAGACTAGTAAGAAGGATATATCAAAATATCTTTGTTTACACATGGGAACATATATAAATGAAAAATAATGGACTATGTTATTAAATATTTTAAAGTACATGAAGGTATTGTCTGCATCACGTGTAACTAAGAAAGGAATATGAATAAGTAAAGGGGGCTAGGGAACCAAACCCCCACCCCCCAATGGAGTCAGTGAGTCCAATCCTCCTCCTCCTTCCAAAGTGAAGCAAGGCAATTCATCACCAACCCTCTGAGGGGATGAGCGAGGAGGAGGACGGAGGGGAATAGCGCGAGCTTACATTCATCCACTAAATTCATCCATTCATCCATCTCTCACTCTCACACTGTCTGTGTGTCTTTCTGAGAGGGTGTCAGGCAAGGATGATAATGATGGTTGTGGGAGAGGCAGATAGGCAGACAGAGAGGCCCTGGCTGGATGGCTGGCAGCACCATCATTGAGCGAAGAATAAGCTGATATCTGACTAAGCAGAAGCTGCAGGGTGGAGTGCTGCCTGCTGCTGCCCCCCCCCCCCCCCCCCC